GAGGTAACTCTTTCATTTAATTTTTTACTCATTTTGCTTTTTAGTGGATGATTTTCTCACTTAATTTTTACATGTAAAATAATGAGGAGTTATAACAGCATTTGCCTTTTGGTTGTAATTATGTTAAAATGACTCCAGAAAGTGATTGTGAAATGTTTTTAGTCCATTTTATCATAGTTTCCATCTGTTTCCAGGTCTTTTTCAATGCGGGACAGAGGCAATGTGGCGTCTCTGATCATGACGGCCCTGCAGGGGGAGATGGAGTACGCCACCGGAGTCCTGAAGCAGCTGCTCTCCGACCTGATTGACCGAAACCTGGAGAGCAAAAACCATCCCAAACTGCTGCTCCGAAGGTGAAGGAGACGCACAGTAAACTCTCAAACATCCAGAACTTACAGTAACAATGAAATGATATAAACTTGAACAAATAAGAAAATATAACCACAGCGAAGCAAATATTTCATAAAAGCTTTACAAAATAAAAGGTTTACAATTTCATGAATGCTGTGCAGAGCTTTTTTTTATTTTTACAAGTTGTCTTTCTTTTTTCCCTCTCTTTCTTTCTCAGAACGGAATCTGTTGCAGAAAAAATGCTGACCAACTGGTTCACATTTCTCCTGTACAAGTTTCTTAAGGTAGGTCTGTCAACTTTTGCTCTGTTTGCAAATCAGTATGAATTAAATATCTTACCTGATACAATTCACTTACATGACATTAACACTTTATTTGGAGCTCGAAAATTAGACAAAAAAAATACTCAGGACAAAAATGCAGACAGAAATCACTATTGTTAAGTAGACTAAAAAAAAGTTAGAAAACTATTAAAACAAATTTAGTCCAGAACGGTTTGCCAAAATGTTATTTAAGTCCATGACTGAAATGAGACTGGTGTAAGATAAGACTTAAGATGGTTAGCTTAATGTTTGTCAAAATAGAAGCAATATAATAGTTAGACTAATAGTTAGAAAGAAAATATGTAAGATCTAAACTAAGTGGAAAAAGGTACATGTTAGCCCAGAAAGGCCCAGAAAGACCTATATATATAGCTATTTAGCCGGAAATACTTGAGTGATTGTTAAAAGGTAGCTATACCTACAGCTAGCAAAAAACTGAAAAAGTAGCCTTAATGATTAAGCCAAGAAATAGTCTAAAATAGCAACAATATCAATGAATAAGAAAGACTTATTAAGACAAATGGTTTGTCATAGCATTTAGCATTGTGCGGCTATAGACAAAGGTTGTTCCAGTTAGCTTGAAGATGGCTATATTTAATGTCTATGCCCTGGGAATGATCAATGACATTATTTCACATAACCATTATAAGTGCATTATAAAAGTAAGGTCTATTTACTGCATTCATTTCTTTTTTTGTTTTCTGTTTTATTGGCCATTGTTGCTAAGTCTCTGTTAGCTTTAGACTCGTTTGTTGTTCTCCATATTCCGCCGGTGTTCCTCTGACGTCTGACTGTCATCAGCGTCATTACTGCTCTCATTATTCTGTAGTCAGTCTTCCCTCTGCTTGAGAGACGTCTTCATTGTAAGAGGATGTGATCTGTTGCCACTCTGTGTCCCTTCATCCCTGTGTCCTTGTTTTTCTTCTCCTGTTACTTTATCAGACAGGAATAAAGTCACAGTAGACTCATTAAACCACAATAGGCAATTAGTGATGATAAAACCTGATGCTGTCCCCGCACGACTTTACAATCCTAATCACATTATGAGCACTAAATGATGATTATTATAGCCACATACCATTACAATGCAAATTATCACAATCTCATTTTGTGGCATGTTAAAAATTTAAAACCTACATTTTGTTTGCATTAAAGTTCAGCTCTATCGTAATGTTGGTCCCTTAATTTCACGTTCCTGAAACAAAGATTCCACTAAATCTCATGCATGTCTCTGCAGAGCAGCAGCAATCACGATATTCTCAAAATTCCCACAGTTAAGGGAACAGTAATCAAAACTAAAGGCACATTTTTGCAAATGAACACATGGCAGCAAAGTGAGAAGATCTGGGAAAAAATCCCAGCAAGAGCACACAAGTGTGATGTACGCTCACTTAGTCCCGTTAGCAGCCTCCCACCCTAATTGATCCAGATGCTAACGAGATTCCAAAACATATGGATAAATGACGAGGAATGAGGGAGAAGGGGAGGAAAGAGAAAGGGTTCAGGGAAGTACAGAGATTAAACCTGACAAGAATTTAAGAGAAGAGGAAATGAGGTCAAAAATAAAGATGAAAGAGCAATCTACTGGGAAAAAGGGGGAAAAGACACGGGAGATCATTTAGGTCGGCTGGGAAAAAGGGGGAAGAAAAGACACGGGAGATCATTTAGGTCGTACAGAAGAAAGGTGGGTGAAGAGTACCAAGAACTTTTACTTTATTGAAAAAATGAAACAGAAAAAATAGTCTATTTGATATTCATTTGTATGCAACTAAATTTGGGGGAGAAAATTAAGTTTTCGAGAAGTGGTTAGATTATGTAGTACATCATATTTAAACAAAGCAATCAGGAATAAAATGTAAAAGTTTACTAGATTTGATTTAAAAAGTGCATTTAGCAAGTGCAAGGAATAAAGAGGGAAATAAAATGAAACACAGTTTGTGTAAAATTTCTTTTTTCCTCATCCAAAATCCAAACATTCTGCTCGATTACCAAACATTTAAAGTGATAAATTAAAATGTATTGTTTTATGTTGTATTGTGATTTAAGTAGTCTCTCAAAAAAGCTCCTCTTCCTTTTCTGAACTTTATTTCTTCAGGCAAATTTGTTTCATAATAGAGAGACTGTGACCACTGAATCACTGAACAGTTTACACAGAATAACAAGTTATTTTATTGGTTAATCTGTCCTTAAAGTTTGCAAAAATATTAGATCACTTATATGCAAAGCAGTTCTAAATAAATGCAAATTTTTGTAAAGGAACTGTTATAAATCTAATAATATCTGTTCTTTGTGAACCTGGCTCATAATTCCCAAGTAAATGTTTGGAAAATGTTTCTTCTCCTCTCAGAAGTCTTCAATTTGAAGCCTTTTCCCCAACATTTAATTGATCTCCCGGTAACTCGTCTTCTTGTCTCTGCCTCTCCAACCAGGAGTGTGCCGGGGAGCCTCTGTTCATGCTTTACTGTGCCATCAAGCAGCAGATGGAGAAGGGACCCATCGACGCCATCACGGGAGAAGCTCGTTACTCCCTGAGTGAGGACAAGCTCATCAGGCAGCAGATTGACTACAAAACCCTGGTCAGTAAACTTGCTGCATCTCGACGGCTTGTGTCCTTCTGTTTTCATCTGAATCACGGCGCAAGCTGTGAAGTTTTCATGACATTTGACTGTGATGAGAATCATAGGGGAAAAAAACTCTTCTTCCTCGATGGATATCCAGAGATAGGAACTATCATTCAGGATGAATTAAAGACTTCGTGATAAGTGATTTTTAGAAAGAGGTTAATTATGATGCTTGTCACACGGTCTTGTCTAAACAAAACACAGTACTTCATGGAGCAGTTCTAGTTGGAGCCCAGGTGTTGGTCTTATTGATTTCTAATCTTGAAAAACTCTAAACAGATCACTTTGTCTAAAGTACATTTTAAAGCTTTAGAAAAATGATTTACTTGGCAGTACGTTTGCAGTCTTCCTGCCAAGTCCAAGCCTCCTGCTTCCCATTTCCTGCTACTTTTGAATCCTAAAGTTTGAGGAATGCATATCCAATATGATGTCGTTTATGAGCCAAAGAATTGCTGAGTGAGTTCAAATTTACTCGAAAATATAGTTACATCACACCGTAGGAGCAGGACTCCATTGTAAGTTGAGGACCCTGTGTATTGAAACTTACTGGTCAGTCCTGGAACTGCAACTTGTCATTTCTGTCTCTGCATAAAATGTCATAGATTCTATTCTTTTTTTTCTCACAGCTGACCCCCTCTGCTTTGTCTCCCTTGTCTTTTCTCTGTCAGACTCTTCACTGTGTAAATCCAGAGAATGAGAATTCCTCAGAGGTGACGGTCAAGTGCCTCAACTGTGACACCATCACCCAGGTCAAAGAGAAGCTACTGGATGCTGTGTATAAGGGCAGCCCTTATTCACAAAGGTCCAAGGCTTCTGACATGGACCTGGGTAAGACACACAGTCTGGACAGAGAAGTCCCACACACACATTAATCGCTGTTTCATTTCTTCCTCTGAACCCTCTGTTTCCTGTCTTCTGAAGAATGGCGTCAAGGTCGAATGGCCAGAATCATTCTTCAGGACGAAGATGTCACCACCAAGATCGACAACGACTGGAAAAGACTCAACACGTTGGCTCACTATCAGGTACAGAAGCTCTGAAGACCATCGGCAAACTGCACATGCCGGACAAATGAGTGGATTTTCACTCTGTATTCATTTGTGATTACAGGTGACCGACGGCTCCGTCATCGCCCTGGTGCCAAAACAGAACTCTGCCTACAACATCTCCAACTCCTCCACCTTCACCAAGAGCCTCAGCCGATACGGTATACAACTCTTAGTCCCGCTTAAACCACATCCAAATGAAAATAATGTATATCTCCCTACCTACTTCACACTTCTTATATTCTTTTACTGTTTTACTGTTAGGGTCGTGATTTTCCTCAGTTCACTACTTTTTCTTCTCACTCTGAATGAATGGCAATCCTTTTTATCCGCTGCTATCAGCACAGGCCGAGGCTATTCCACAGCTATTTCCAAGCAGTACGTAAATGACAGGGATTAAAGTGGATGCCTCGATTCCCAACTGACAGAAAAAGAGAGGGGGAGAGAAAGACAGGGGGTGAGGGATGATACACCACAGTCAGATAAACAGACAGACAGAGGCACCTGCATTAATTCCGTACACTTTGGCAGAAAATTAGACAGCATAGAAGATAAATGGCTAGCAAGTTAAAAAAAAAAGTGATACTAAGGAGGTGATATTTTGCAATAAAAGATGTATTTTATGACAAATATTAAAACATTAGCTATTAAGGCTTTTTATAATGAGATTTGTTTTTGTTCGTTGTATAGATCTTAACTATATTTCCTGTGTCTAAAGCCTTTTCTGGATTAGCCATCCAGAAAAGTTTTATTTGCCACATCTAATCATAATGATTGGCTTTCGTCCAGGCCGGCGCTGGAACACAATCTGCCCACTGATCTATTGTATATATGCACAGAGGCAAATAAAACTGGGAAAGCAGATGTTTTGCACTGATAACAAAATATAATTCTGTGTATTACAACTACTGCAATTCAAATGTGACCTTAGTCGTAGTTGAGACAGATAGTCACACAAAAAACAGTCACAGTTCTGTGACTGTTTTTTTATGCAGTCTAATTTCAACATACCTAAATTGGTCATTTTTTCAGCTATGAATTATGGGCCTGTAGTGGTTCACATCTGGTGTCCAAAATGTGCCAAAACAAAGTTAAATCAATTCTGGTCCACAGAAGCTTGTCTGGTCCAACACATGGCCAAAAGATTGTGGCCCATATTCTGCAAGCAGATGTGATCACAGGCGCTTTAGGTTTTGTCTGGCTTTTGTCTGTGTTTCACAGATTTTATCTGGAATTTGGTAAAAGAAATTGGTTGGCCATAGAATGGGCTGGATTACTTTTTTCAGAGTCAGGATTCATCATAGCAGTAGAAAATGAATTCATAACTGACACTTAAAGAATAACTTACATTCAGTTTAACAATATTGCAATAGTGCTAAAGTTAGCTTAAAATTGTAAGAAACAATATAGATTCTAAATCACCAATAAACAATACCTTAGTTAGATTACAATATAGTACACGAGCTAAAAGAAAACGTCCATTCTATCCAAAAAAGGAAATTACTATAATAAGTTAAACTCAAATCAAACAAAAACAAGTTCGAGTCCACCAGCTGCCAAGTTACCACTGAGGCGCTCTGAGCACTGCACTGTCCCCACACACTGCTCCCCGGGCGCTTAAAGCTGCTCACTGGTCACTTTGGTGATGGGTTAAAAACAGAGGTCACATTTGGTTGTGTGCTGTGTCACAATGATGAGTAGTTCACTTTCACTTTCACCTTCTTTAATCTTCCTTAGAAAAAAGGCTGAACAAGCTACAACATGGAAAAATAAGCTACAAGAAAACAAATAATTCTAATATAAATATATGCTTTCCGAATATGAATTGAACATCACAGCCAGATGCAAACGCTGGATAAAGGACAGTGCTTTCATTTAAAAATGATTTCTCTCACTGTTGCAAAATCAGAAAACGCTCATTAGAAAAGAAACAAACAAAAAAAAAGCAGAATCTTCACTGGTGCTGCACCATCCAGCCCTTTTTAGTTAGACGCTGTAATTCAGCCACACAGTCAGTGACAGGTTTGAAATCAGACCCAGTCAGCACCTCAGCGACGGGAGCAACAACAACACAAGACATCATTACACTCAGCCTTGTTCACTTTTCAATTCTGTGTTCTCCCATTACTCTGTTTTCCCTTGATATTTTGCCTTTGTGTCCATTCAGCATCCGCCCCTCTTCTACCCTTTATTCCTACCACATCCACTCTCTTCACTCTTCTTTATGCATCCTTTCAGCAAATACAAAAGAGGCTCCATCCTCCCTCAGAATCTCTCTTTTATCTCTCTCCATTCCATTCCTATTTTTCCCAAGAGCAACAGCTGCTCAACAGATAGTCATCTCCTGCCATGGTCACCCCCTCGCTTCTAAATTTAATGGACAAAGATATGCATCTTCACTCTAATCAACTTTGACACCCACACCATCAATAATAAAAGTGACAGAGATAATTAAAGGACTTGCGGGGGAGAGATATTAAAATGTATATTTTAGTATGATCAAAAAGAAAAATTTTGCATTTACTGAGTCATTTTCACAGACACCACGCTCACATTATCTCTCCGTCTTTGTTTGTCTGCATTTAGAGAGTATGCTGAGGACGGCCAGCAGTCCAGACAGCCTACGATCACGAACACCAATGATCACCCCTGACCTGGAGAGTGGGACCAAGTTGTGGCATTTGGTAAAGAACCACGATCACTCAGACCAGAGGGAGGGCGACCGGGGCAGCAAGATGGTGTCAGAAATTTACCTGACCAGACTTCTTGCTACAAAGGTAACTATAAATACTACACAATGGTTGTTTGTCTGTATATACTGTACAAGTGACAGATAATGAATTGATAATGCATGGATGGAATCCACTCTTGAGGTGAGCTGGCCATGGTGCTGAATTTACCGAAACATTGTTGATTATTCATTTTATTGGGCCTGGCCATGCCATAAGCAGGCAGTATAATAGTCTCAAACGAGGCTAAAGCGAGACAAAACATAATAACCAACTCATTGTTTAATTTTCCAACATTATTACCATAGCATTATTACTCAGCTGTGACATACAAATGTGTGCGTATAGCTTGGTTGTTTTCCAATTAAGCATTTAACGGAATATGTAAAAATAATAGGAAGGTCATATTATAAGTAGTAAATTTGTTTAATTCAAACTGAATGACTGCTCTTGAAACGTAAGAGGTTTATTTGAGGAGATAAAAAGGACAGGGAGCAGAATAATCAAACTGCTGCTGGAAGAAGAGAGCTTAGACTTTTAAAGCAATGAAAAAAAAAACCCTCTTAATAATGTATTTAGCCTCAGGTGTTATTTATGGACTTTTTGTGGAGCGATTTATACATAAAACCTTACCTGACCAATACTATGCTTAATATAACTAAAAATTACTTTACTCTAGATAACAATAACACACACAGCAGTAATATATTGAAAAATGAAGCCAGTTCCAAGCCTACACTTAGCAAATAGAACAACATGTGGTTGAAAAGTAGTTTAAAAAAATGGAACCAAGACAGATTTATCTAAAGACCTTGTAATTGCCATGCTATGTCATCTCTATTACCTGTTTATGAAACCGACTCGCAGACATGACGTAGACTGTTGTCAATCTGTTTAGACAATTTCCTCATTTTCCTACACAGGGTACGTTACAGAAGTTTGTGGACGACCTATTTGAGACCATCTTTAGCACCGCCCACAGAGGCAGTGCACTGCCCCTGGCCATCAAGTACATGTTCGACTTCCTGGACGAGCAGGCGGACAAACACTCCATCAATGACTACGATGTTCGACACACCTGGAAGAGCAACTGGTAAGTTTCCACCAGTTAAACATTATCGTAAAAGTCTGATGTCATATAATCTGTTAGGGTCCGTCTTATTTTTTTTTTGTAAGTCAGCACATCATCAATAATGTTTTCTGGGTCCATTTTCTCAGATGTGATGATTTGTTTCTTTTCTGTGTCCTGAGTAAATTGATTAAATATCACATGAGACGTCTCACATAACTGGTTAATTGGTTTGGGACTGTGGTTCAGACAAAACAAGCAATTTCATGACAACACCTTGGGCTTTAGGAAATGGTGATTGACATTTTTCATTATTTCCTGTCGGATTCTCTTTACAGCCCTGTACTGAACACAAAAGCACAGATTGTGCAGCAGGAAAAAAAAAATCATTTATAAAGTTGTACTTAGTTTAACAGTTTTGTAATAAATATTTGGCTGGAAGTTTTCAGAGCCAGACAACTTTTGTGGCCCACAGTGGCTGCTGTGAATGCTATACACTAAAATAACAGTTTTATTACCGCAAGCTTAAGAATTAATGTTCTGTAGTAGGAATAAGTGGGTGAGGAGGTTTTAACTGCCCTTGTTAATGTGTATATTAATTAACAGGATGTGGAGATAAAGTAAGTGTTGTGCAAACCATCTGCCACTGAAATGGCTGGTATTTAAATATCATTATAACTACTAAACGACAATTAAATCTAAGTCATTAAACTAATATAGCATCAAAAATGAAAAAAAATCTCTTTTTTAAATGTGTCGCTAGTTTTCTTCAGTTAATAATAAAAATAATAAATCTGTGCCATGTCACAGAGAGTCAAGTCAAAGCTTTATTTTCAAATGTATTTTTAACCTTTATTAAATTACTACCGTTAGTAAATGATTGTTAGTAAATGATTATATTACTCAGACCACATTATCTCTGAGCATAATCTCAGTTTATGTGACAAATCCTTTTAAATTGACTTTTGAAAACTAGGGAGGAAAAAGCTGATTTTCAGGGTCAGAGTGAGGCCTAACCTAACTAACATTTTCACGTCAGTGTTGAGGGACGTACAAATAGAATTAATTTAGAACAAACTGGTAGAATGTAGTCAGACTCTTGATGATATAATAAAAACAACAAAAGTCATCCTTTTTTGCACTCTCTTCCAGTCTTCCTCTACGATTCTGGGTCAACGTGATCAAGAACCCTCAGTTTGTATTTGACATTCAGAAGAACAGCATCACAGATGCCTGTCTGTCGGTGGTGGCTCAGACCTTCATGGACTCCTGTTCCACGTCAGAACACAAACTAGGAAAAGACTCACCATCCAATAAGCTTCTCTACGCTAAAGACATTCCTAACTACAAGAACTGGGTGGAGAGGTGAGTCAAAGATCAGCAGTCGTGGACAAAACAGTAACTTACAGTATGTTATGTATTACACTTTTAGTGAGTGAATATTCAACTCACTCATTCTATTCAACTCACTGAAAAATTCAGTCTGTGGAATGAACCAAACTACTACAGAGCTAAATTAACTTTTTACACAAAAGATGAGGTTATCCAATCAATCACACAATCACATGCCGTATTAGAACCACTCATCTGTGCTAACGTTGCATCTGATTGGTGTAATACATGCACAGTAATGTCAGTGACATTTTTGGGTGACCTTATCAGTTCTGGTGATCTTTCCAGCAAGTTGAACATAATTAGGTAAATAAACAGAGGTGGAAAAAACCTGGACTTTTTTTAGATATTTATCAGCTTTAAACTCTGTTTTATAAGTTGTGCTCCATCAACATTTTTCCTCCTGTAGTCCCACAGTCTTCTTCCGTTCTCCTTCCTTCTGGTACCTGATTCATTAACATTTGTATTTGCAGTTTTTTTTCACAGTGTATAATGATTCTATGTATTCCCAACACAATTTGCTTACAGGGTCAGAAACACCAACTCGCCTCAGGGAATAAATACATGTAGAACAAGTGTTAACCTAAAAAGTAACAGATCCAGAATGCATCCACTTCTGCCACAGCACTCTCACACCAGCTGTACAAAACAACACCCCTGAATACGGTGTACACTAGAGCCTAAGGCTGGCAGGGAACATTTGGAGTCAGTGTAATCTTTAGATTCATAGGTGAAGGTTAATTGGTTGCAGTCAGACTGTGCTGATCTCATGTCTTTTAACCCACTCTCAACCTCTGCTCACCCTGCTACAAAATACCTTTAGAAAAATATCAAAACCTGCAGAAAAGCTGAAGGTGCCGCTCAATACTGTGATTTCTTCCTAATATACTGCATTATTCACTGCTGGCCTCACATTACTGGTATATTTGCTCTTCTGCTGAAGCCAACAACATGTCGTCGATAATGTCAAGTTTGTTGTTGCTTGGACAAAATGAGAGGAAGGAAGTCGATATCCAGTCAAACTGGGGCTTATTCTTCAGCAAAAGAGTCAAGTTTGAAATAATGGTTCAGGCCCATACATATTCAAAGACCTAGTGCGCCACCTATCAGAATCACACAAAAATGCTATCTCTTTCGTCTAAATATCCTTTGTGTGTTATTGGTCTGGTTCCTTTCAAAGTCAGTGAGCACCACATTCTTCTCTTTCAGGCAATGTAGCATTTAGTGAGTGAGCAACATTATTATAAGCTCTTCTAGAACCCTCAAACATCATTTATGTAATTTTTAATGATGTTTTGGATTGATCTGAAAATGAAACAAAATTCTTGCTTGCTAACAACATACTAACTTGTGACCTTTCGAACGCAAGTTAAGAAATATTGAAAGTTCACACTGTCGGATCCTACTCTAACAACAATCTGGACTGAACTATAACCATGTGTCAACATATAGTATATACATATACAGTATATGTGTTTGGACTTTAATCAGAAATGACAGCCTTTGTCTACAGTAGGACAAAAGAGGGGAAATGTAGAGTTTATCTGATGTTGTTTGTAATGGAGGTTCTCACTGTGAAATTATTATTTACTGTGTATCGCCCACTGCGTCCACCAACTCAAAACAACATGGAAAATAGTGAAAATGCAGCTGAAGCCAAATCCTTCATTTAATGGCAAATAATGGAAATGCTGTCGGCATCTCCTTTTCATCAGCCACACCATGGGATACAATTCAATGGTAAATTGATTTGTTTTCTATTTGTGTTTTCAGAGCTGCTACTGAGTCTCACATATTATTTTTGTGAGTCTCAAAACAGGAAATGTTATAACGTCATACAATCAAAGCTATAGTAGTTTAAGCTCTTCTTTCTAAACACGTGCACAGTACGAATCCAAACATCAGGTGAATAAAATACATAACAGAATAGCATCTCTTTTGTCTGAAGTATACATTTTTGACATGCTGTTTATCAAAATAGTCTTGCATTTTTCTCGTTCATACTGAAATGATTGTCTGGAGCCTGGTGTACTCCTTTCATCCATAGCAGATGAATTGTTTCTACATAAGAAAATGCAGCAGCAAACAGTACAAAATTCACAGGGAGCCGTCTGAAGAGCTTGCAGTAATTACATGAATAAATGTTGTGGATGTCTTGGACCACGAGGAAACTGTGACATTTAAAAGAAAATTTAAAAACAAAGTAGTGATGAACACTGAATATAACTATTCATCAATTCTCCCTGGTTCCTGGATGTCAGGTCTGCTGCAGGGTGTCTTTTGTCAATGAATAGAGGTTTTAATAGAAGTCTATCTTTGATTGAAAGTAAAAACTAATTTTTAGCTTTTTCTTACTCTGCGTCTGAAGCCTAGCTATTGAGTACATTTTTACACTTTCTTTTTTTTACTTAGTCTTTCTCTATTTGTTCTTTTTTCTTTCAGACAGAATAAACTAAGTTAAAAAAAGTATGAAAGTTAAACAAAAGTGTGCCTAAGGCCACATGCGACTAATACCAAGTGATGATGAGTGATGAACTTATGTAGATACAGAGTTAACTATCTAGTAAGTGGTAGAGAAGTACAGAGAATGTCACAAGAAGCAGAACTGTCTTTGTTCGTTTGTTAAAGATTTTCTTCGTGGTCCTCTAATAGCTGCCCAAGGTTTACATCCTGCTCACTAGCCACCTTTTTTAGCCCCTGTTTTTTTCTTTTCCTACTGTGTGTGATTTGGTTTAGTCAGCAGGTGTAAAAGAGCTGTCATCTCCATGTCAACGTTGTGCTGAGAGGTTGTTAGCAAGAAGGACAATTTTATATTTTGCTTTTAAGGCAGTATGATTACCAATACTTTGCTGGCAGTAAATGAAAAAAAAGTCATATTCCAAGATGTGGTGATAACTGGACTTGGAATCATTAAAAAATCGTGACAATGTTGTCGCCACCTCCACTTCTCTCCACCTTCACACAACTGTATGTAAGTGAGTAAGTAAACCAGGACTGCCACGACAGTATCTGAGGAAGGTGCAGGACATAGAAACAGTTTGATATGTGAGCTCTGAGTGACAGATGGGTTCAGCAAAGGGTTGGGGTTACACATGTAGGCATATATATATATATATATATATATATATATGCTGTATAGGCCCTTAGTACTTATTCTAGGAGAGTTGATAAATGAAAGTGTACATGGCTCAGATATGATAGTGAATATATAGGACAAGGGTGTTAGAAATAAAGCTGTCAGGCAGGTGAAAGAGGGACGGAGAAAAGACAAGATTCATGGGCGGCAGGAATAGGGTGAGGTGCAGACAAATGTTCCCCCTCACTGAACCTCAGAAGAGTAGTACTGCTAGTTGTTAAGCTATGGAAATATTAGTCATTTTTAAATGTGCAATATATAAACCTGACCAGTATCAGTTCATTTTAGTCTAACTTGGTCCAGAAGGAGGCGCTCATCATGTTCTGTATTTAACAGTCAACAGTCAGGAGTATCTCCCAGATGTGTTGAAGAATTCCTTCCCTTCTCTTCTAGGTATTACTCCGATATCTCTCGCATGCCAGCCATCAGTGACCAGGACATGAGTGCCTACCTAGCAGAGCAGTCCCGCCTGCACCTCAGCCAGTTCAACAGCATGTCTGCACTGCACGAGATCTACTCTTACATCGTCAAATACAAGGACGAGGTGGGTTTTCTCACCCCAACAACCCCACCCTAACTACCACCACCACCCCAACCCCCCACCCCCTGTTTCCTCTATTTACCTTGACTAATACCATGAGGTCATTTTAATTCAATTATAGTGATAACCATTTCACATCAGTGCTGCCTGGAAGGTGTTATCACCATTAGGATGCACATTAAGGCATGAGCTCAGCACATTATGGACCTAATGGAGCCTCATTGGGTCGGTGCAATTTTCCTTTGTTTTTTTTTTTTTCTTGTCCATAGACCTTCAGTACTGTATGCCACAGCTGCTGCCAGCTGATTAAATATTGAGTTTTGTTTATACATTAGATGTATGGTTGATTGGATTACAAAAAAACTAAACTAAAATAATTAGCTTCATGGTAATATTAAAAACAGATCAATTCCATTCTTATTGGTATGACTTGGCTATAATAATATTGTTATTAGATCTGCTGATGTTGTTAGTCAATGGTTTGCAATTAATTATCATATTAATTCATTATTAATTATCTTAATAATTATCATATATATATACATACATATATACACATACGCATGGACAGATAAATATAAGTCGATGGTTTGATGGATGAACGGACAGACAGGCAGATAGATAGATAGTCGGCAGCTGCAGCCTCCGTTTCTCTCCCCTCCTCCACTGTCCTCGTCCATGGCTGCAGTATTACAGTATTTCAGTATTACAGTGGTTACAGTGGCTTGTTGCAGGTGTCTTCATTCAAACCAAATGCTCCCCTTCATTACAGCCTATTATCCAGATGTAGGCAGCTGCACAGTCCCCGCTGCCTCCAATATGTGCCTTGACCTTGCATACACACATACTGTACGCAGGTTGATGCTCACACACACACACACACACACATACTCACACATACAAATATGGGGGAATGCACTCATAAACAGATAAACACGCGTTCTTGCACATCCCCTCCATATAGTATCCTGTTTTAGCTGCGTATTGTTTGACGTTTGCACAGTACACTGCTGCATTAGCTATAATTTTTGGAAGGAATAGTTACTATCGCCTGTAATGTTTTAGGTCCAGTATGAGTCAGAACATAGAAATAGATGGAAAACATTTTTCTCCAGTTAAACACTTGCCACTGAATCCATCATCAAACAGTCATTGGTGATTTTCTTTCTTTCTCCATTCTTTGTCTAAGAATGGGTAAAGCTTTTGCAGCACAAACAAACTGAGCCAAATTGTAGATATGGCTCAGTTAAGAGCTTAATGATCTTAAGCATACACTTAAGATCATTAAGCGTATGCTTAATGATCTTTCTCCACATTTATTTGCAGATTCTTTCAGCGTTACAGAAGGACGAACAGTCACGCAGACAGCGGCTACGCGGCAAGCTAGAGCAGGTCATTGACACAATGGCTCTGGCTAGCTGAGGACCAGTCGAGCCCACGGCTGGCAGGAGAACGGCCTCAAACCTTTTGATGCCAGTGACATTTTTGACCTTTGACATTTGTAGTCTGTTGTCATCACTCACACAAACAAGTCCCAACAGCAGAGGAAAAGACACAGACATCAAGCAGCAGCAGCAGCACACTGAAGAGTCTGGATATAAAATCCCGGTGTTTGGGTTGTTATTTTGTTTTTGTTTTTTTGCTTTTTATTATTCGTCCTGAGCCACCAAACCTGCCGTGAACAACCAAAACAATCAATCAGCCTCAGCAGACATGGACCTCAGCTCAGGAGAGAGGCTGTTCTTATCAAAGCCCTCATCACATTGAGAATCCAGACCATGGCTCCATTCAGGACTGGCACATGTACAGTGGTGATGAGAAACTCCATGATGATGAAGGTCATCAGCTGGCAGCCTTCCAAAGCCAAGTCTACAGATCCACATTGAAGCCTATAAAAGTCCAGGATCGTTACCTTGATACTTGATCCCATTCTCGGTTCTCTTGCCTTCTTTCTTCTAAGTCAGCGGGAGCATCAGCCATGGATCTGGAGAGATTTTATTTGTTGCTTGAAGAGATTTTGCAGATTGGATGCTTGGCAACAAAGACTGCTGCGGCAATCGCAAGCAACCACAAGGAAGTACTTTTACAGGGAAATTCCTTCTCAAATACTTACTCTCCAACTTCACTTTACTCTTACAAAGGTCACTTCCTCTTTCACCACTTGGCTTTTGATTTATGATTGCATTCTCTTGCCTCCTTCAACTGCCTACTCTCCTCCGTGCTGTGCCACTTGTGTTACTGCTGAATTTGCACAACAAAGTTAAATCAAAAGAGAAGAGGATATATGAATATATATATATAAATATATAAATAAGAACTTTTTGGTTTTTAAAACAACTGAGATGATTGTTTTGTTTGATTTTTTTTTTTTTTTTTGTCAAATGTACAAAAGATACTTTTTTCGAGATGATTTGATATCTCCTAGATGAATAATTCTGAAAACGAGAGGAAAAAGTAATCGTCCCGTGCCATGTTTCCTTGAATGTCGTTTAGTGCAAAGACTCTTTTTGTCGGATGAAATGTACTATTTTAAAAATGTCTTGCTTAAAGACTTGAAGCAAGAGTTTGAAAAAAAAAATAGATGAATGTTCTTGAAAACATAGAACACAGGTTAGTAAGAACAGAACAGATCTGGAACCCGTTCTGCCTGTAAGCCAAACCACCCTGCAGTGCTTTTGTGTTTGTTTAGGATAAACCAAATACATCAGACTTTCAGTAGGTGAAACTCTCTGGTAGGGGACTACATGTAAAGTTGTTAGACAGTCGAATCTAAGTTTACCCTTGGCCCACTCTGCCCTGCTGATCATTGATATCGTTTCATGGACTTCTGCTCTTGTCTTCAAACACTTTACTAAGATATTCCTGCCAAAATTAAGGCTTGTTATGTTAATAATGGGAAGACGGTGAAAACTATGTAATTTAATTTTGGCTTGTCTATTTTCTCCTAGTCCTCAGTGAATACTTTAAAAGCTTAAGGCTCCATTTTTGAAAATGTGAATGTGTTTTATGAAGCGCTAATGAAATGTAGCTTGACTCATGTGAGTGTCTTTGTCCTAGCTGAAGGAGTCCTTTCTCAGTTCCGTGGTTTTACAGGGGCAAAGGGGTTAAGGAGGCCTGCTTCGGCACACCGACCTCTGAGTGCTTTGGGAAACCTACATACGTGAACAAGACATTCCTTTCTCTTCTAAATGTAAAAATGGTCAAAGACTGATGCAGGGAGCTGACGGACAGAATGCATTCAAACCAGGGTGAAGTCTATATTACAAATACAGTGTTATGTATTGACTCAGAAGCAGACCACACATATTTATATCTGTAACTTACTTTGACGTAAAAAGAGAAATTGAAACAGTGAAACTTTAAAGCAGTGGTTCTCAGGTGATGGGAAACTTATTTTAATGGAATCAGGAGGGACTATAAAATGCTGAGATAATATTTTGTGAAACATCCTGTTCATCATTATAGTCTAGTCTGCCATTCTCTCAACAACGTAAAATCAGATTTTTATTTATTTTTATTTTTTTAACACAATGTGGCTAAATTACACTTGGTATGCGTCACTTTCCCTCTCACATAGCCAAACTTTGCTAAGTCACTGTTTTTAACCTTTCCCTTCCTGTGCTTTGCTGCTACCTTAGCAACGATAGCAGAGACATCTCTTTGTCACTTTATAGCCAGCATAGTTGCTACTGAAAATGACAGATAAGTTATTTGAAAATTCAGCTCCTAACTACAAAATTGAAATTGTTGAAAGAAATGGCTGAAGGCATGTTGCTGTTGACGTTAGCATTGTTAAATCTTCGTCTCTGCTTGTCCACAGGCTGCAGCAATAACAGCAGAGTTGCTGTGATTGTTTTTCTGTTGAGAAAGATAAGAATTCCAACACAAAAATAAATTATAGAACAAGAGGGTTGGGATTTAAACTGGTTCACACTCTTGGTGGCACTGTTGTTAGCTGTTAGTTACATAGCTCTCTTATTAGCTTGCAATATGTAATAAGACTGTGACCGAGATAACTCTTATAAAACCTGACACTTAAAAAAAAAAGAAAATCACAGTCTACTACAATATGGAATCATTTTTGAGATAGCAGTCGTGTTATTTATTATTTTTCTGTTTTCCTTTTCAATGAAGCACAAAAGTCTAATTAACAAAATATATTGTTTTGTTTTCTAACAGAACTGAAAATATGGCCCAGAATGTAAATTGTGTTTCTAAATTATGATCTCCTGCATTCCTTTATTTGTTGAGTCAGAGGTACCACATGGTTCACACTGGTACTTTAAAAGACCTTTGCTTATATTTTTTCAGTCCTCAAAGGCAATAACATAAATACAATTTCAGTGAAGAATAGCTGTGTTTAAGTGAAGAAGTGGAGACAGCACAAGATTTTTCTGAAGCAGCCTTTCATGTTGCTGGCTGGTGTAGTGAACCCATTTTTGGTTCATATCCCACTATTTAAGAAACACTGCTTTAAAGGTGTATGGACATCATTTGCCAATCTTCCTCTTTTCCTGAGCTTCCATTGCATTTTTTTCTGTCAATGCTACTTTTGAAAAAGTTTCATTGTGTTCAACAGTGAAACTGCTACACAGAGACCTTAGAACCCAGGGAGTTCATAAAAGGTATGTTCTATCCCAAGTAGAATCGTATCAGTTTAACAAACATAATAAAAATCAGTTTAGACAAACTGACTTCTTCCCTCTAGACGATGGATTATTTTGTCTGCAGTAAATACTGCACAGTAAAATCCATCACAGTAAAGTAAACTCAGTCACACAGTTTAACAGTAATGGCTTTTAGCTGCTAAGCTAATATTTCAAACATTCGTCAGAAAAGATGTTCATTCTTATATATAATGATATTACATATCTCAGTACAAACATCTTAAAAAGCACATTTTCAAGGATGACATGATAATACGTTTTGTTCTCTACAAAGTAATAATATTTATGAAATCCAGTAATTGATATTTAAACAATTTAAACTTCCCTGTCACTGAGTTGTTCCTGGTGCTAACAACAGCATGAGTGCATTGCTTTCCACAGTTTTTACCATTTTTAAAACCCTTTAAAAATCCACTCCATATTTAAGCGTAGATCATTGAAGATGCTTTATTTTTCCATCTGAAGGACTAAAATGTACTGTATGTGCTTTCATACTTGAACCACTTCTACACAGGGTAAAAATAAACATGTACAGGTCACCAAAGCTTCTTCAGCCACATCAGGGGAAGCATCCTCTTGTCAAATGTTATTCATTTCATTTTCAGTTCTTCCACAAAATTGATTTTAGCGCTCTGTCTGAAAGGAGTCTCAAACCATGAAAGAAATCAAATATGTGAAGGTGTTTAATTACTGACTAATTCATAGATATTGTCTTCATATTGACGAGCGGATAAACTGGGACAGTGTTGCTTCCATGCACAGGCACTCGTCAACATATTTGGTTCAAATCAATCAGGTGCAGATGTGGACCACTTGAAGAACGGAAAAAATATTTTAAGAAAAAAAAGTTTTGCTTTGTTGATATCTTTGTAGATGGGGTTTAAAAAAGGAAGAAAAAAAGTTGAAGGCAGGAGAAAACCCTCTTGGTCTCTGATACTTTTGTTTCTTAGCGCTGCGTCTTGTTTGGTGCTTCATCACTTGTTGGGGTAGAAGATGAAAAGACTTGTGAGAGGCAGAAGAAACGCTTTGAAGGAGATGCTTCTGCTTCATTTTCTATTCTGTTGCATCTGTGCTATTCACTTTTTTCCAGATAGAAAGAGACAGTTAAAAAGAGAGAGAGAGAGAGAGAGAGAGAGAGAGAGAGAGAGATACAGTACATGGAGGGCAACATATGCAGAGCATCCCCCGGTGCCTTGTCAGCCTCCTCTCCATATGGATTATTTATTTTTATTCCATTAAGTACAATTTGAAGTAGGAGATCAAAAGGTCACACAGTCATCTGAATATGTAACTTTTGCTTTTATTGTAATGGTGTGGTGTCAGGGAAAATGTAACCTTAGCTTGGCATTAAATATGTAGGAACTTTACTGGTTGTAATTCTTAATTAAAGAATAAGGTTAGGTAATTTTATTTTACTAAAGGAGAACATTGGTTTATTTTAACATATATCTCTGTTGCTGAACTCTACCATTATAACATATCTCACTTAATAATAGGTCCAACCATCATGGTGAACTGAACTGGGTTTTCTGTACCCTGCCCATTGACAGCCGGGAATGGCTGTAGTTCATCTGCAATTCTGCAGAGGATTAAACGGTAAACAATGAATGAACCTCATTAAGAACCCCAGGACTGGCTAATATGGACTTAAAGTAGCAGAGAACTACTTTTTGTTTGTGCATTCATTTCAACTGAGTCAGACATGTACAATGTTTCCTTCTTAGCAGCATTTCATGTTGCATTATTCTGGGAATATAGTTTTGAGCATGATTACAGACACAGTCTAAAGGCTGGTATAGTGCCATCAGGTGGTGTCTGGTGGTCTTTTGTTTCCATGTTCTCCCTGTGGTGGAGGTTTGTTGGCCAACTGTCCAGTGTGTACTCCATCAATACACCAATGACTTCTGGGACAGGATTCTATTCCACTCACCAGCCGTCAACAGAAGATAATGACTAAGTCAATGAGTACTTTTAGACAACAGAGATTTGTGTTGAAATCAACCAGGTTCTTCTCATAGCCACAGGGTTAGAATACACATCATCATATGCTGTAGTTTTAGACTACCAAAAGATTGAGACTCAACTGAAGCTGTAAGCAGTGAAAAGACCATCAAAAGAAGAATTCAAACTTAATATTCTCATAGTAGCAAAAATATAAACATGTAAAACTGTTCCACATCAGCTATCCACGATGTGGGCCACAGAATTTTACATCCTGGACACCTGGCTATGGTTGGCCATGCAACCAACTTTGCCATGATTATTGATACAAAATGCTAGGCTAAGACAGCATGACACTCAGCACAGAGATAATGTTTGTACATTTTAACTTCTCTCTTCTACTTAAAAACGTCTTCATATTTATTTTGACAAACAACAAATGCATATAAAACACCAACATTCTATTTATCATTTCGGGTCATGCAAATCTCCAGCTTTTTTCCTTCTACTTTTAACTCCTCCACATCCTCACCTGCTGAGTTCACTTTGATTAAAGTACATTTCAGATGAGTATAGGACACAGAAAATACACACCCACAGATTAAGAGGTGGGAGATGGGGGGAGAAAAAAGAAAAAAAAACTTAGCAGAGTTTTAATACTTTGTGAATACTGATACCTTTTTAAGAGTTTCAGATGTGAAGCTGCTGTGACAGGTCCTGGCTGTTTCATGCCTGTGTAAATATTCTGCTCTTTCCTATTTCGCAGATTTATTACGTGTAAATAGACACTCATCAAGAAGAGATTAAACATGGGTTTTTTTTTTGCTAAATCGGGCTTCTGTGATCTGTATATTCCCTGTCCCTTCTCCTTCTACATCTACACAGAATGTGAAAAGTTGTCACATGTTTTCAGGTTTATCCCACTGCACATCACTGCACTTCGACTGCAAACATCATACTAAGCAAATGTACTCCTCGTTGTGAAAATGCAGAAAAACTATTTTTTTAATTACATTTTTTTACAACTGATGCTAATGTACACTAAACATTCATGTTCATTTTTAATCTGCATGTTAATTGTTTATTTTAAACATCAATACAGTGCTGTAGAATACCAATACTGATTCATGAAATGAAATATCATGATATATCGGCATACCAATATTATTTTACACTCCTATACTGCAGGCTTTCTGTTGTCGTGTTGTGTATTGTGGTCACAATATGAACACAGCGCCTCCTCTGGTCTGACAAAAACTATAAGTGCATTAGCACCATTAACAAGGGAGTCAGTACCAGGCTTTAAGGATCTCAGAAATGTGGCATTAAATGCTTTATTTTATCCTTAATTAATTACACACAATGTGCCTAATGTTAAAGAACATTAAAAGCATTAGAAAAAGAATAAAAACTAAGTGAATGCATAGAGAATATTTGTTTAAGGAATAAAAAAAGATTAGAAATCAGGAATAAAAAAAAATAGTTGTATCAAAGGAAGTAAGCACAGAGGACACTGATGGTGAATGTGTTACTTTTCTCTTGAAATCAAGGAGCTGTATTTACTGATATGATTGACCTGGGGTTCACTTAACCAACCGGAAAACCTTGGCAAAGGAGTGAAATAGATGAATATATATATATATATAAATAGATGCTCAACGATATCAGGCACATACAGTATATAGTCACACCAAAAAACACAGTCACAGTCAATCTGCTAATCATTAACACACTCCCACTGCCCATGATTGAAGCCGAACACTTGCCTTTTAACCCGAGTCAACTCTGCTCAGATTAGAAGAGGAAGAAATACTCT